AAAAATAAATGCCATTTTGGTTCAAAGAACCAAATCAACTAGGAAAAATGTGTTCCATGTGTCTATGCAATATATTATTGTGCTTTACATTTCATAATTAAAACAATGGATTTAATCAAGTGTAAAATTTGACCGAACTCAAACTAGATGATATGAATATAAAATAATTGATGGAGAACAAAATGCAAACAAAAATCCATCAACAAAAAAAATCATATTAAACTTTATTAACTATTTCATTTCAGTAGATTAATGAGGCACAGATGCGCACGCACCACTTCGTACGCATAGAGATAGAAAAAGAAATAGAGAAAAGAGAGAGAGAGAGAGGATACCAACAGGCCGAATAATGCCGACACGAATAGAAACAAAAAAAACTATATTAATAAACGAAACGAGTCTATTAAACGACAATTAAATTGTCAAGTTTGTATTTGTTTTTGTTTGTGTTGTGCGTTTTGGTGAACGCGTCGAAATTTGAATTCAAATTTAAATCGAATCAAAAAATATACCAAACAAAGTATGCACAATCATATTAACCACAATATTTAAACATCCATAGTTTTGACATTTATATACTGTCATCACAGCACAGTGATGTTCTATCAAATTTTCAAGCATAAATTATGTGAAACGACGAATGAACGATTGTGGAGCAAATGAACTGGAACGTGCTCATTTTGAGAGCTCCATATTTACATATAGCTCGCTGAATCTATCTTTCTTGGATGCGGCGAATGAATTGTGTGACTAAGAAGCAAACGAATAATTAAAAATAATTTTTAAGAATTTTATAATGCCCATTCATTTGTAATTAAACGACGAAACGCTCATGTTTTATGGAATTTTATGTGCTTGTATGTGTTTCAATATATCTTTCTTTCTCTTAATTCTTGTTTAAAGCGTTGTGTTCGGGCTTTTTTATTACATGTTTAACCTATGAAAGGAGTGGATGAGTTCCAATTAATTCGAAGCAATAAAAACGAAGATTAAAAGAAAGACATTTTTATAGTTGGCGTTGAATGTGAATGTTTTGACAGCGTGAAACAGTTCCAAAATTCACTCAATTATGATTTAACAGTCAATAAAGTGATGTTATCGTGGTGTGTGTGTGTGTGTGTGTGTGTGTGTGCGTGTGTGTGTGTGTATGTGCGCGTGTGTGTGTGTGTGGTATTAGCTAGATTCATTTTATTTTCATACAATACAGAAAATTGGTCCAATTTAACGGACATTTTTCGAAACAACCATAACTCAAGAAAGTGCTCGAAATTTTAAACAACAAATAAACAACATTGTTGCGAATCAAAGTTTTGATAGCTTGTCCTTGCGCGCACATGATTGTCCCTGTTTTTCGACTGCATTTTTAGTGCTTTTCTTTCTAACAAAAAAAATGTACAATACCAAAAAAAAACTATACGAATTAATTAGTTACATCCCTGCACATGGAAACCATTTTTGTTGAATCATATATTTTTTGACTCGTTACAGTGTTGTTGTTGTTCTCGCTGTTTTCTACTTTATTCTCCAAAAACTTAACGAATACACCCCGAAAAATCCGGATGAACAGAATAGTAACGTAGAGTTGTAGCAAACTGAAACCGAATTGAACAAGAAAAGACAACAAAGAAAACTTTGATCATATATTTTTCTTTTTGTTCATACTTTGAACATTAGTTTTGACATAGTTTTGTGACGCTATATATGGCTGCTTCTGCACTTTTATTTATCATCATCCATAATAAATTTGTTCGTTTTTCATTTTTATGAAAGCGATTCGAAAATTCAATTAATTTTCACTGGGTTGTAGAGTTGCTGGCCAGTAACAAAAAAAAAATGTAATTTAATGTACGGTGTTGATGGTGGCAATTCCTGGTGGACTTTGGAAACATAGCTATCCGCATTTTCACCAGGGTCCATGGCTCTGTAGTTCAAATGCACATAGATTTCAATTAACCTAACTTTCTTAATTAACGGTTGCTTGTTACATTTTGCCTCCGATTTTCGTTTTGTTGCCCATTGCAAAAGAATGCAATGAAATGGTCAAAAGTTTTTTATTCTATTTTGGATGATGCGATTTGTTTACACTCGAGCAACAACTGAATTCTTACAATTCGATATAACCAACGTGAACAAATGCACAATCTATAGACTGCTCTATCTCTCTCTCTCTGACAGTTAATTGCACCGACTATAATGCACCACGTTTACGTATTTTCGTGGTATTTTCTTCATTCATTGCAATTGCATAGCTAAAATCGAATAGCTATTTTTGTTAACAGTCTCGTTTTTTTTTCTTTGGTGTACTTCATTTTGTTCGTCAATGCTATTATTTAATTTTCGGTGTTTCTCATTCACTGGCAGCAAATGTACACTTACACAGATACAATTGAAAACTAGGTTAATAAAATATGTAATTTCAATTTCTGTATACAGTTTTTGCTCACTTTCATGTCGTTTTTTTTTAACTTCATAGCAAATTCTCATAAAAATGAAGGAAAAACTTTCAACGTGCGCCACTAATTCGGGGTAATACGTCAACAATACAAACTGAACTCGAAGCTTCTGAAATGAATGCACTTACGCACACGCACATAGAACATAAACGCTACAGACCCATCGTTGCACATTTCAGTGAACAGTGGTGTACTCGAGCTTCCTGTAATTTATTTAGTGAATATTCCGTGGGTGAAATTTAAAATATAGAAAAACAGGGTAACCAATGAATGCATGTGTGTGTGTGTGTGTGTGTGTGTGTGTGTGAGAGAGAGAGAGAGATACAGAGATAAAAAAAACGAAGAAGACCGAATCGGTGTACTTCTGTTTTGATGAATCAATTTGGAAACTGTCACATAGATTTTCAATTATAATTTGAATGATGTAGAAATTGGTTAAAAGATAGCCAGTCTTGCCAGTCACACCCTATGTCTTATGTGTCTTTTCCGTAAAATCTCGAAAATAAATTCAATACAAACAATATTTCAGAAGGAAAACATTTATAATAACTTCACGTTGGAAAACATGGCAACGAACTGTCTAGATGAGTGGAATGGAGAGTATGAACACGACGAACATTGAATAGAAAAGAACCAAAGAAAATTCCCAAAGCAGAAAAAGCGAAAATATTTCAGCTGAATAGTACTGCATATACTGTGATATATGTGCTTCCCTTTCTGAAATTATGAGAAAAGAGAAAATCGAAAAAATTGAAGTTAAACCAAAAGAGATAACAAAAAAATGATTAAGAGACAAATAGAAAAGCCACATACAAACTATATTTATGCATAAAATCAATTTTGGTACAACAAACGGCATACAAATAAACTATTTAGTTTCTCACAATAATAATCGATTTTGTCCTTTTGTTTTCCATCAATTTCGGAACATAAATGTCATTTGCATTTTACATAGACATTAGTAATTTGGGACAAAGTGCTTTGACCTCTTTCGCTTACTAACAAGTTTTACACGTCACTAAAAAAGAATAGCGCCAAACCTTATATCCCCCCAAAAAATGTAATCAACCAACCCGAAATGGATGAATTTAGTAGTTTGACTTTCAAAAAGTAACAAAAAAAAAACGGCAAATATACAGTTTGCCAGTTGTTACACATTTTGTGTGTTTTTTGGTTTGAAAACTAAAATCGATGCCAAAATAGTAATAAAAATAAATGATTATAATTGTCGTGGTTGAATTGAAACAGGGAGTTCGATTCCTGTTTGAATGTGATCGTGTTTGTGGTGTACATTTCCAAAAAAATATCATATCGTATACATGCACATCAATCGACCGATTCGTTATTAATATGTTTGAGCGTTTAACGCGTATTTACTTTTGAGAGACAAACTTCTATTTGTTGTGTTTTGCCACAAGGCATTTTTATTTCGATAAACAGCCAAAAACACTTCTCATTTCGATTAAAGGTTTGATCCCTCCGCACGGGAAACAGTTTCGCTTGAAATATGTTTTTTTTTTGTAATAGGTGCATGTGCTCGTGCTTTGAAGGTTGAATAAATGTTTGGATAGCGACAATATTATTGCATCGGTCCAAAACACACAAACGCAAACATTTGCTCTCATTCTTCTTTTCTCTCTCTCTCTCTCTCTCTCTCTCTCTCTCACTCTCTCTTTCTATACAAATATGTATATGTGTGTATGTTTTTTTCATCAGAATCCATTTTATTTGTTCATTTTCGGACGATTTACTCAATGTTTTGCATTTTTGCAATGTTTTATTTTCAGTTGGCAAGTTTAATCAATTCAATCCCTCTCGAATGTCAAAGTTTTTTTAATGTTTATATTTTATTGAACAATTAGATTCGTTTGTAGATAAAAAAGACAACAACATTTGCTCCATCTTTCCAAATCATAAATAAGGACTCAAGCTGATGAAGCATGAAAAAACTATAAAAGAAAGTGTGCTTCGCTGGCGCTCGGTTCCATTAAATAATAGTAATCTAACATGATTTTCATAAGAAAATGTATTGGATTTATTCAAAAACACCCTATTTCAATATACGCTCATTACGGAACATTTTACAGTCGAGACAAAAAAGATAAATTGTGTTAAAAAGCGGAAAACTTTTGGATATTAAATTCGAGACTCTCGTATCATACAAAGAATGAACAGATAAAAAAAGATCGATGATAATTATTGCAAACTTGATAAAATACTCGATGCTCATCTGCTATCATTATCATTTGATTTTACTTTTAACAAAAATTCTTTTTTTATACAATAATGACATTTTCCTGACACATATAATACTAATGATCTGCTCATTGTTTCGCATGCCTTTCAGTGTCGGTATGCTGGTGCGTCTGGTTGTGCATCATTTAAGAGCTCAGCAATATGAAATCCATCCAAAATGCAAAATTAATTTACTTGATAGACATTTTTATCATTGCTACATATCTCTCGTGCCTCAATCTATTTCACTATAGTTTTTTTGTGTGTTATAGTTCATATACTATATTAATATTCTTTATTCTTGTCTTACAGATTCCAGCACTTTGGTCTGATTATACACAAGAGAACGAAGACTTTAGCACCGAACGATAAAGTTTTTATACATCCTGAATCTTCTAACGGAATTACTAAGACGAAACTCACACAACAAGCTTCAACAGAAAAACAAAAAAGAAGCGAACAGAGAAAAAAAAAAGATCGAAAAAGGAGAAAAATAAGAACGAAAACGAAAATACATAACGGCGACGTAGTTAAAAGCATCAACATTGAGGGAGACAACTATTCAGTATCATCGAGATTAAGTATCATCACTTTCAGGAGGCAAGAACTATTGCACTTTCCAACTTTGTTATAATTTTGATGAGAACGAATGAACGAAGGAGCAAACCGAACAGAATAAAAAAAAACTGTATTGCTTTGGATCTCATTCGATATCCCGATGCCTCTGCCACACAGGGAGCGACGAATTGCGAATGAAAGAAAATTTAGTGATGAGAGACGGTAAATTTAATAGTGGCAACAAATAGTTTAATAAAATAGCGAACAAAACGGGAAAAACTTTGCGTCCAACAGACAAACAAGAAACAATTAAAAATACAAGTTGACTTTAAGAAGCAAATGAGTGTCGTAAAATATGTATGCAGCCGATAAACACAGTGCCGAGATTACCAATAATAATAAGCGACCGGAAAGTTTTGTTTCGTGATACGATCGATAATATTGAAATGGATAAATGAATACACACTATCAATTTGTGTGCAAGTGTGTATCTTTTAAAGCCAAGCAATCAAATTAAGAGACCAAACAACAAAGAATACCTATAAATAAATTGTTTTCAAACGAATTTTAGCCAGAATTATAATACAAACCCCAATCCAACTCCTGCTCTATTTGCAATTTATTATTCAGTGTTATCAAGTGTATTTTACTAATATAATTTTGTGTAGTTTTCTGTTTGTAAATTCTGTGATATTAGAATCGTATTTGCTCCAAACTATTTCTATACCGGTCGTGCTCGTTTTTTCCCTTCATTTCATTTCTTATACACAATAACGCATTGCATTCTCTTACACTGTCATAAAAAAAACTCATAAATAACTTTGTTTTTTTTTTTTTAAACTATCAACAATAAAATTCAAAGCCATCAATAAACGCAAAGAAATTATTCAACTTCTATTGCGAGAAGCAGTGTGACCTCTGAAACGATTCAAAGATATTTAAAGGGAAAGAAGACCAAGAACACTAAAAACGAATAAAACAAATAAAAAGAAAAATAAATTAAAGAAAATGTTTACCAAAATGTTGAGTTCGCGACGTTTTTATACGATTTTGCTTCTGCAATCAATAATATTGTTTAGTGCTGTGATTGGCATCCGCTGGGAGCATTCAGTCGATTTGAATGATGACTACCGGGTGCTGTGGACCATAAACAAACTGCCATCGATTTCGCAACAACAGTTGTTGGCACACACACAGCAGCAATCATACTTACCACATTTGACTGAAATCACATTTGAAATACAAGTGCGAACGCTTGGTTACATCGGATTCGGCTTTTCACCGGATGGTCAACGGGCTGGTGCCGATATTGTAATTGGTTGGGTGGATCATGGACAAACGTATTTCCACGTAAGTATTTTCACCACATTCATTCATTCTATTATAAAACATATGTAACAATAACTTTTGAACGAAATTTATTGAAATGCGTTAAAACATGAAAGCGACATTTTGGGAGGTTTTGCTAAACTGTGGCTTTTTCACCATTCTCGTACGTTCTTCTGTATCTCAATCGACAGAGCGGAAGAGAGTGAATGAGATAGAGAAAAAAAGAGAGAATTTGTTTTGTTCAGCAGTTCATTTCAACCATGTAATTAAATTATAACGAAAGTTCGTTTTTCCGTCCACTTTTGGGTCCATCGAAATGTAAAGCGCATCAGATGCCGGAACTATATAAACGCGAATAAGCATGTCAATGTGCTTATCAAAACCGATTAATTCAATTTGGTTGAGTATTTAGAGCATCGTTACGAGTTTGTGAGTGCACATTTCACTATGTTTGAGCACATAGTCCATACAAAGCCAAAAAAATAAATATATATAAAAAAAACTGGCTTATGAAAATGGCATCGGACATGGTTCGAAAGTGAAATTTGCAATGCATTCCACCCATTAGCATAGCTATTTGCGATTCAGCGTTTTATTTCTTTTCAGTATTGTTCGAATACATAAACATTAAATTGAAAAATGAGCTATCCGATATTTTTGGCACGGATTTTCGATTGGATTCATTTGAAGCCAACCGTTTTTATTTCATTCCTTATTATGACTGTAGAAAATTAACATTTCAATTTATTTTCTTTCATTCTCATTCAATTGAAAATCGTACCGAAAAAAAAACCATAAATTCAAAAAGTGAAATTGAAAAGAACCACCAATTACGGAAATTCCTGATAAAATGAATAGTTCCATTAATACAGCATACCACCAATCCCAAATTATTATTATTATTATTATTATTTTGCGTAAAATTGACCAAAGAAATTTCAACACTATACACATATATGTGACCCTTCTTGTGTGACAATGGAACGAGATTATTGATTATATGGCCTTTTTCTGAATTTTGAAAAAGAACGATTCCGTTGACCAAATTGTTACAACCTTCTTTTTAAGAGTGGCAACATTAAAAAATATATATATTATTTATACTCGAAGGGTAAATTGAATGAAAAAAATATATACTATACACAAAATTTACTTTGATTCACGTTTAGAGAATAAAAGATTTTTTTTTTTTTGTAATTCTCTTTCCTTTTCATCTTCATATACGTTTTGGCGAATTTTAATACAGCTATTCATTCGATTCATTGGACCAAAGCGAAAACCGAGAGCGAGAAAAAAATGCACATTCACAAACATTTCTATGCGATTTCAGATGATTTAATTTAAATGTTGCTTTGAACAGTCCATAATCACTCACTTACTTACACGCATAAAAACACGAATGCATACCACTCAAGCTCTTAAATTAAATTACGACAGCAACAACAAAAGCACTGACACAACAACAAAAAGAACATACACACACACACATGAAACAGAGAACCCATTCGAATTTCACCAAATTGAATCAAATGAAAACTATTAAATAGCAACCATTGAATTGAAATCACATTATATATTTAATAACAACACTAACAGAAAGTATAGCATAAAAAAAGATTGAATATTGTATGCGCACGAATATTTGAAGAGGAAAACGAATATTGGAATAGAACAAAGAGGAAATGAGTGTTAAAAATGTATTGAAAACATGCGGCCAATACAAACTCGTCAACGCGCATAAGAAGATAAAAAGGGAGCATGCAACTTCAGAATTTAATTCAGAAGGGGTTCCTTTTTATTTAGACTGGAGGTCTAGAGGCAAAGAGAATTGTTTGTCTGTATATTCCGTTTTGATTCATTTTATCGAATTTTTTTTTTCTCTCTCTCCTTGAGATTTCTCTTTTTTTTTATTATAATTCCATGGCACATCCCTTTACAACTCATCGCAAATACATTCATTTCAACTTTTCGGATTTACAGTTTAACTACAAGGGCTTGGGCGCGACTTTTCAATAACGAAATATTCAACAACATACCGTGTACGCCAAAAATGGATATACTTTTTGTTGATGCAGCAGCATAAATAAATTTATCACATTGCTGAATGCATTCAAACTTTGGTGTTAGGCTGTTTGCTCCGGTGCTGTGATATAGTATAAATAAAGTTAATTGCATTCAATATAAAATATTGTCAATCTTTTTTTGCTCACTATCGCTCTTCTGTATTTTCGTTCGTTGTTATTGTTAGTTGTAAACACGCGCAAAAGCAATCCCTTGCAATTTGTTCGCGCTCGTTAATTTAATGACAAAGTATCGTTTTTCTATGTGCACTCTATCTCTCTCTCTCTTTCACTTTTTTACACCAAAGTTTTTTCATCATTGTTTCATCCCCAGCAGTCTCGATCTCTCACTAATGTATATGAAGTGAATCGGCGTGCTTGTGAGTTCTCATGCAAACATCGTTTTAAATTCGTTTCTCTATCTCCTGATATATACATTATATTATATATACACATATATAGTTTTTTTTGCTACTCTAACTCTAGTAGTCTTCTGCAGAACACGTTTAACGAAACTACTTTATATGTGTCAGAGCCATAAATATATAGCAGTTCTTATTTTTCCTTTAGTTCTGGTATGTTTGCACGAAATTAAATTTAATAATAGACGTTAAAGAAAGCGGAAAGCAAATAAGAGACTTGAGAATGGAACCGGAAGAGGAAAAATTACTTAAATCGAATGATATCGAACCGGTGATGGAACAGAGAATATAGGGTGGAGAGAGTGATAGAGCGAACCAACCAACCATCAAGAGCGGAATAATCTGTAAAGGTGGTTGATGTGCGAAAATTCCACCGTAATGCACGGCTTACGTTTGGTTGGTTCTTGGGGATGATGACGACGATGATGCAGTTATTTACAGTGTGACAATAAGAAATATTGGAAATCAATGCCCAAACAACAGAGATATACTAAGCGCAAATATAGAATTATCGAGACAAAAATGCAAAACGATGAATGTTATCTCTGGCATTACACTACAGCCAGCAGCGATAGTAAAATTGAGAGAGGAAAGTAAAATTTAGTCACGTCTGACAAAAATGCAATATGCATTTATGCAAAACTGCGTAAAATTTCATTTGGCGAAGCATAAAACTCGATCATTTCCTAATAGGAAACAACCTTATAAACAACATTTGGTTTTTACAATATATATATGCGACATGCTCTTAAAAAATGGATTCAAACTAACAAAATAACTGCAAATGAACTCCTTGCGCTCAAGCCGAAAAGTAAACAATGTTTACCAAAATAAGTGAATGAAAGTGGAAAACATAAAGTGAATAGTAACCAAAACAATGGCCTCGTTCCCGGCAGGGCACTTTTTTCTGTTACATTTTGTGCATTCACTTGATTCTATTGTTGTGCAACGCGCTGCTCTCATCTGCCAAAATAGCGTGCAAAGGCAGCAACCAAAATAAAATATAAATGTGGTGTAGTTTAAGTGCTTTCGAATTTGAGTAATAAATGCATTTTGTTGCTATTCTTCAACGAACGAATCTATTCAACTCAATAAATGTCATATTCCATTTGCGCACACAAAATACACACATTTGCACACAAATATTCTATACAGACCAAATAACAGTTTGAGTCGTAACACGTTGCGCGCACTCACATACATACGTACGTAAACCGAAGTTGTTCAATTTTTTTTTGTTTCAACACCATATCGAATAGATTCAAAGCGATTGTTTTGCGTTGGACGATGCGCATGGTGTGCGTAGACCATTGAATACTTATTATAGAAAATAAAATAAAATTACAACATATTCTTTATCGATGCTAAAATGCTTGGGGTGTGAAAATTATTCAATTATTATGATCGAAGTCATATAGCACAATGTGGCGTATACCACAATATGGTACATTTGAAATGTGTGAAATTAGGGCAGATTGAGTGAGCACGACAAGGAAAAATAACGGAAAATGATGTTCGTCTTAATGCCACTACGCTATAAATATGCTTATTTAAAGTAGAAAACGAAGTGGAGTGGAACGATTTAAGCGCATTTATATATTCGTTGTGAATTGCCCCCGTTGATTCAATTGTGTATGAGTTTCGCGACCACATAAATGGTTGCCTATTTCCATTCTACTCAAAAAGTCCACATTTTGATTGAATTTTATATATTATATATTGCATCAAAAATATTTCGACAAGAGTAATGGATATTTTCAATTTATGATGCAAGAGCAACGCACATTTACATTTGCATTTCGTGTGTGCATTTCAATATAATAATATTAAAGTCTCAAATCGACCAAACTGAATTATTTTGTTTTGTGTAAACTTTCGGTAAAACAAACGAAATTTAATTGATTTGCCTATTGAAGCGAAGCGTTGTTGTTAAAGTGCGGACCAAATGAATAAATCTAATTGTTCAGCCAAATCAATTGTAATCATTAGGGCCAATCAAAAAAAAAAAAAAAAACAAACAAGAGTACGCATCGATTTCGGATACTATACCCAATTTGTTTTATTTATTTCCTTATTTTATTCCATTCGTTTTAAAAAAGTATGAAAGCATATTGTTTGCCGAAAATATCTGTCCATGTTTTTGTTTCTCTCTCTCTCTGTTTTTCACTCTGTGGGTCGGCATCGAAAAAATTAATTGAAAAATTTTATTGTATGCGTGGAATAGCCTAGAGGGTTGCGATGCTCAGACTTTGCTAATTTATCTGATTTCTTTTTATTGAAAAATTTTCGGTATTCATAATTTCTCGTGAAAACAAAGCCATTGATTGAATAACGGATGCCGATTGCAAGACAATATTCAGCCTGGGGATTCAAATAGCGTTAATTTATCCGTTGTATTTCTCTTCCATCTTTCTTCCGCCCCTCTCCCTTTCGCTTTCTTTTTGTCTTATCGCCCCCTCTCGTTGTTCTATGTTTATTCGTCCGAATTTTCGACTTGAGATATTTCCAGATATTTTCTGCCTCGCTAAGTTCAACACTG